TCGCGTTAAATGCATTATACGGTGTATCAAAATGAGATGCAGTTGGGATGGGACTAACCTGTGAACGAAGGTTCTCAGTTTTATCCACCAGCAACTCAATCTTCTCACCACGATCAAGGACCTGGGTCAAAGAAAAGTGTTACTAATGAAAGAAAACAACATGCTACAAGCAATATATCCGAACTTTCATTCTGTTCTGTATGGCATGCCTTGAAAGTTGGAAAAGCTGGCTACACATCTTGCCATGTCTTAACCCTCAAACTACACCTAGAACAGTGATGGAATTAGCAGCAATTTATTACCTTCTCGATGTTTTCCATCATGACACCCTTGACTTCAGAAACTTGAGCTTTCACTTTAGCAAGTTTGCTGATCTCTTCAGGATGGTCCACACAGTACTGCATATGCTCCTTCAATTTGGACCTATTATGTATAAAAATCTAAGCATATTTCCAAGAAGTCAAAAGGTAAATCTGAGACGAAACATAGAGAGTTAGATACCCAAACTCTTTATTCAGACTTTTGGCCACAGCAGTTGCTGCCTTCCCTCCTCCATATCTCTTGTTGAAGTCTTCCTTCACTCTTTCCAGAAATGCGATTGGAACTTGCCTGCCAACGGATTCAACAGCAACTACACAGTAGGCTGTAGCACCAAAATAATACCAGAAGTCAGCAAGTAGATCTATGACTAAAACCATTAAGTTTGGGAAAGGAATCTCTCCCTTACTCTCCATGAAGGCACCATGATGCATATAACCTACAGCTTCAATTATCAATATGAACACTCTAGCACCCAAATAGCAGCTAAAAGACAGCAGCCTGCTGCACCGTATAAATGAGAGTTACATGGATATGCCCCATCGATGGGAATGATTAGAGGGTAAGATTCTTTGATTTAAAGGCTGATCGTGACAGTAAACGCCAACTAAAAATGTGTATCTAGTTCTATATTTCTTCTTTCCTTGTTTAGTAAAGATTTTGCTTCCTAGCTTTGTTCTTTACTATCTATATATTAAGCATTCATTTGGTACAACCAGCATAGAACCCAAATGCAGAGCACACGGATCCACAAAGACGTTAACAAAGGACGGCGAGAGTTCAATAGGAAATGCAACTAGCTAGGGGAAGGCACATAAAATCAGTCCCAAATCTTGTGAATCATAAATTATGCGAACCTTTAAACGATGTTACAATCACCAGATAAAGTCTTAGACTCGTCTAATTAATGCACCCTCACTGGATATCACATCGATTTGCTTATCTATAAAAGGAAATGGAAGACATCCGAAGAAGAACATAAGTCTGTCATTAACACACCTATTTAGATTCTTAATTATATTTTATACATCCAAGCAAACCATGTCTTTCCTTCTTTTAATTGATGATAAACGGATAAACAAACAAGAGTTACATAAAGATATGAACATATAGAATGAGTTAAAAATCAAGGATCAAAGTAAAAAAAAAAATCGTAAAAATGGAATCCAAAGCATTATTTATATACAATCAAAATGTTCAAATTAGATTTCTTCCCCTCCGCTTCGACCAAACAAAACATTGTACAAAACTAAGATATGAAAACAACGAATCCATACAAAAACACCTAGCAAACCAAAACTAAGCTCAGATCCAACACATGGCAATAATAATCAACACATACATAAACGCCAAATTAAGAATTAAACAGCCAAACGAATCACAAGCCGATTTACACATTCGAATCATTAAGCGAATAATCAGCTTTCAAAAAAAGGTCAACCAACTTAAAAAACATAAAACAAAAGATCAAGATCGCAAAACCGCAAGCAAACAAAAAAGAAGTTCTTACTGAATCCATTTTCAACGAGGTAATTGAAGGTATGGCCATCGCAGTTATAGGTGAACTTGTTGTCGGACGCCGATAGTTTCTGGAGACATTGAGCTGCGATAGCGGCGAAATTACCGGTGAACTCAGTGTATTCGGCGAGGATCACGGTTCCACGTGCCACGAAGCTGTAGATGAAAGACTGTTGCCCCATCTCTTCAACAACCCTAATCCTCCACAAGCAAATGATTCAAAAAGAGGGGAGAAGAGATGCTACCTTGAAAATGGTGGGACAAATTTGGGTTGTTCGTAAGGTGATGTTTTTTATTATTTTTATTTATTTTCAAAATCTTTTAGGGTATATTACCTGAATGTCGTTCAATTTTAAATGAATTTTCATTTTGATCACTAATCTTTGAAAAGTTATGTTTAGTAACTATCATCATCCGTTTATTATACAGTATTATCTCCTATTTATATCCGTAAGAGAATGATATGTGGGTTGTTAAGAAAAGTTTAGGATAAACTTTGTATTCAGTTGCTAAACTATCAATTTTATTCTGTTTTAGTACCTAAACTTTTAATATTTCCAAAATCATATCTAACGTTTAGTTTTTGTTTCATTTTAGTATCCCGTCGTTAAAAACTTAATACGTTTAATACTTAAACTATTAATTTTGGTCCATTTAGTACCTAAACTTTTTTTTATAAAGTTGAGAATGTTGATTATTAATAACAACCGTTTACTTTTTTTATAAAGTAAAAAAATAGTGATTTGTATATTTTTCATTCATATTTAGTACTAGTGTTAGAAAATATATATCTCTAACGTTTAATTAAATAGTCACTTTGACTCTATTTTTTTTGAAGCATTTTGTCTATCAACATTTGAATTTGAGGCAAAAGGTCCCCCGATGGATGGAAATTGTTAGTTAGCAAAATGTTAACTCTCTAAAATAAAGACTTTTATTACTCTAAATTAAAACTTTGAGGGTTAAAATGCTCAAAAAAAAGAATGAGGGTCAAAGTGATTATTTGGTTAGACTTTAGGGACTGTTTACCCTCAAAATGAAACACACGGGCTAAAGTGCTCAAAAAGAGATGAGTCAAAATGATCATTTTGATAAATGTTAGTGATTAATTTTGACATTACACCTTATATTTATTTATTAAGTTTAAACAGACAAACCTGAATAAGAAATATGTTCATTTATTAAACCAACAATCTTGAGTATAGATGTGTTTTATTTGTTTATGTTCACAAACAAATACTTCATAAATTCATGTATTAGTTCGCATATTTAATGTTTAAATTTTTTATTAAAGGAAATTTATTTATATTTCTTTTATTTATAATATAATCATTAATATTTATATTTAATTACTTATATCTAAAAATAATAAATATATTCATTTATATTTTGTTATTTATTATTTGTAGATATGTTCAAAAACGTATTCATGTTTAAGAACATATTGGTGTATATTCTTATTTTGATACTAAACGCTTACATTCATAGTATTTCTGGTGTTAAAATTTGTGATTTTAAGGAATAATAATAATTTTTTTGATTAATCTGGAGTAAGTATAAGGCAGTATCTGTTCAAAGATAAACTCTCAATCTTTTGACACTGAAGGCTTACACCCCTGACTTCTATGGTGATTAAACTCGGGTCCTCAAAGAATAACAATAATTTTTTTATCACGGAAGCCGCTTAATTCGTGAATTTAACTAGAAAAAAAATGAATATATAGGTTTACAATCTTTGGTAGGCCAAAAATTGCATGCAAAATTATTTATTTATTTATTTGAGTAAATATCATTTACCATTACAAAAGAATCTACAACTCACTTTACAAATTACACACTGATATCAAAAGGGGTTCTTTTTCAATGCTAAACACATTGATATTTCTCGCCCTCAACATTTACCAAAAATGTGAAAGAAAAAAAATGTACAATGTCCGCCATTGTTGAAGCTCGAAGCTAACACTGGTTCTCGTACGTTCAACGTCGATCCAGTTGACAATAAAACAATACAAACATTAAAAAAACTCGCAAAAGGCCATAATTTTGTTCTTCCATCTATTTTTACCAATTGGAACTGAGATCTATTCCATTTTGATTGCCTCCATCTTGTGGACTGATCGTCACGTAAAGTAAAGATATGACAATGGACAAAAGGCCGGCCCAGACGTATATGATCGTCGGCACCCTTCCTCGCTGTTAGACTGTTATCAATGCAGCGCATGCATGAGGAGACAGTTAGTCTGTTAGGTTGATTAGCTAAGAGTGTTAGTTTGTTAGACGGTTATTGGCAGCTAATGAGAGCTTAATCTTCTCTTATAAATGTAATGCACCAGCTGAGATGAATAACAAGTCATTCTTTCGTGTGTATACTTTCTGTTATACTCACTTCCTAATATGGTATCTTTCGCCAAAGTCCTGGGAATTTTGCTTTCACGCTTCTAAACTTTCTGTCTCTCTAGTTCTTCATTCATTGTGCACAATGGGTCTAGTCAGCAAACTGCTGACTCAGTTACCATGCTCGGGCTTTAACACCACTACAACACAACATTCATTGAGCTTTTGGGGCTCATTCTCAAATATTATTTGGATTGTGGTGATGGAGGCTGAACGTGGCTTACCATCGTACTATAATGTTCTGGGAGTCGAGATCGATGCTTCCATTCAAGACATCAAGCATGCTTATCGAAAGCTTGCAATGCAATGGCATCTGGATAAGTGGACGAGCACTCCTTCTCTATTGAGTGATGCCAAGCGTAAATTCCAGCAGATTCAAGAAGCTTATTCCGTTTTATCAGATCAGAGGAAGAGAACTCATTACGATGCTGGATTATTTGATCCCGATGATGAAGACGATCAGGGCTTGTCTGATTTTATGGCTGAAATGATCTCCCTTATGGCTCAAACAAGGGAAGAGGAGAAAGTTTGCAGCCTGGAGGAGCTGCAGAAAATGTTGTGCGATATGGCACAAGAATTTCACTCACCGTTGTGGTTCTGTGGACCGTCATCTCTGCCGAGGCACCAACGCCTCAAAAAACCAAAAAGATCGTTGAGGCGCATGTTCGATGGGCACATCTTTCTTTGCTATTATCCTTTTGTATTTTTTGTTTCCTCTGTTCTTGAGATCTGCACATTCCTTCAAGATCCTCGAAAAGTTTTTCTTTCTTCAGTACTGGAAACCGCTGTAGTGATGTCTCCCCCAATTGAGCCTCCAGCCAAGTCCTTCGACTCTCAAAATTCTTCACATCCTCCTTTGAATGAAAGGACCCTTTCTTCAATGACCAGGAGATCCGTCGCTGCGCACCCATGGCATGAACTTGAGATTGGACTTGGAACTTCTACGATTTTTAACTGCGTGGTTGAAATTGGAAAAGGGAGAAAGGTGAAATATGAACTTGACAAGAGAACTGGTTTGATCAAGATTGATCGTATCATTTATTCATCAGTTGTGTATCCTCACAACTATGATCTTCTTGTGAAACATGACAACCATATGGAGCCTGGTTGTGAGGTTTACTTGCATAGAATTGGTAGAGCAGAGCATTTCGGCCGCAAGGGAGCTGTGTTCAACTTACTCTGTGGTGATGCGGATCAAATGTTTCAATGATGTTGTTGGTGTTTGGTTTGTTTCACATTGTTGTTATAGAATAGGTTTTTCTTTTAGAATTTTTTGTTGAATGTTCATTCACATCAAAAGTTTGTTCCGATTCAAGTCGAACGGAGGGAAGCATCTGCTCTTCTGATTCAAGTCGAACGGAGGGAAGCATCGGCACTTCCGATTCAAGTCGAACGGAAGGAAGCATCGGCACTTCCGATTCAAGTCGAACGGAAGGAAGCATCGGCACTTCCGATTCAAGTCGAACGGAAGGATGTGTCTTACCTTGTTGAAGGAGGAAGAGAAAGTAGAGGGAATGTTAGACTGTTATCAATGCAGCACATGCATGAGGAGACAATTAGTCTGTTAGGTTGATTAACTAAGAGTGTTAGTTTGTTAGACGGTTATTGGCAGCTAATGAGAGCTTAATCTTCTCTTATAAATGTAATGCACCAGCTGAGATGAATAACAAGTCATTCTTTCGTGTGTATACTTTCTGTTATACTCACTTCCTAATACTCGCCGTCCCATTAGTCCTTTGACGAACCGGTACATGTGGCACAAAACCCAGAACGCGAAGAACAAGTCTCCGAACAGTTGTGTCCATTGCGGTATGACGGAGTATATGGTTCTCGATACGCCGATCACGATGGCTAGTAGCGTCACGATTATGATCGTTAATGGAACTATGAAGAGACTGGTCCATTTGACGAGGTAAAGCTCGGCGTAGACATCGTCTTCATCTTCTCCGGCGGATTTCGATGTTAAAGTGAACGAGATTTCGATGCCGGTGAAGACTTTTAAGAGGCCTTGGAGGACGGCGACTAAGTGAGCGCTCGAACCGCCGATGACCCAGAATTGTTTGTTCCTCCAGAATTCCTCGAGGCTGATACCGGACCACCTGACTTCGAGAATTGAAATGCAACAAAAGTTTAAAGTGATGACGAGGAGATACATGAGGAAGGCGATGTTCAGGCCTTGGACGATGAACTGGTCGGAGAAGAGGGAAAGCGCCGGCAGGAAGCAGTAAATGACCAATAAAATGGAGGTGAAAGGGTAGAAGCCGACGTTGAGATAAGCGATTCGTTGTAGGAATTTTAGTCGTCGAGTTGCGAATAATGGATTGTTCCTTGAAAAAAAAAAATCGACTGAACCGGTGGCCCATCTCAACACTTGGTGAAGCCTATCGGTGAGGTTGATCGGTGCAGTTCCTCTGAATGCGTCGCGTTTCGTGACGCAATAAACCGACCTCCATCCACCGTTGTGCATCCTATAACCCGTCACCACGTCCTCCGTCACCGAACCATAAATCCAACCTATTTTGCCACCCCAATCGGTGTTTTCGTACCAACAGGAAATGACAGCGACCGCCTCGGTAACCGTCGGTGCATCGAGCGGTTGTCGCGGTGTCAGCAACGCACCGGGTGGTCGACCGTTCTTCACCGATATGTGATCAGCAAGGGGACGTCCTTGGTACTCCGCCACCGGTATGCTTTCGGTGAACAACATCGACTCACCAAATCTCTTTGGAACGTCCAAGTCCGGGTGCACATTTAACGGTTGGAATTCATCATCTACCGGCGCAGGCTTTGTCTGAATATTATCAGCCGGTGAATTATTCTGTCCGAACACACCTGTATACTCGTTCGCTCTCGACGGATGGAATCCGTAGGGTGCGTAACGTCGGAACATGCATCTAGTTCCGATTACACCGACCCTTGAAGACCATCAAGTGCTTTCATACTTCCTGTTATCACAAAATACGATTGGAGTCATTCGAGTTTTATAATTAAATTTAAATGGAAGAAAACAAGGTATTATACCGTCGAAGAAGACGGTGTTATGATTTGCATATCGATCCGACGGGTCGATCCCTTCGAACAGTTGCTGGAATTGAATGTAACAAATCCGATCGCCGCCACGGTCCATCATGAAGCAAATCCCTTCTTTGATGGCCATGGAATTATAGAAGTAATGGTCACAATCCAAGTTGAGTATAAAGGGTCCATTGGACAGTATTATCGAGGCTCTAACCATGCCATTCATGGCTTCAGCCTTCTTGTTGTGGTCAAAACCTGGACGTTTCTCCCTTGAAACATAGGCGAACATGGGCAGCCTTATGTCAAAACCTGGACGTTTCTCCATTGGGCAGCCTCATCTGGGTTACCCATCACTGGATCTGGTTCTGGGAATTTATTCATCATCTATGGACAAATTTGATAATTCGATTATCGTCTACCTGTCACGGTAAAATTAATCTTCGTTTTGATCATTAAATTTACCTGCAAGATTCCAGCATGGTCACCTTTGGAATGGTCCGCGATTGGACTTAGCCATGTCCCCGGCTAATGTGTGTCGTCGGCCATCCATGTCACCTTATCGACTTGAAAATCCAATGGCAACGACCCGCCGTTCTTCTCTTTGGCAAGGCTTTCTCCTTTACTATCTCCCTCTTGTTGTGGATGTCACATCTTTTAAGTATAGTCTCCGGGAGACCATTGATCCTTACCTTGAACTCATCGTACTCTCTCTTTATCCACCGTCGATCCTTCATGAAATCAGGTCATTTCTTGTTCTTCGTCGGATCGATTTTCTAGTTGAAACAGCTATCGGGGTTCCTAGGTTCGATGTCGTGTTTTCGGCAAAACGGTACCCACACCTTGGCAAAACGGATAGCCTCGGCCATGGCCTCAAATGTAAGAATGACACCACCATAATCCGAAATAGAGGCGGAGAGTTTTTCAACAGGATAATTAGCAACCATGATAGATAGGATGGTGTTGGCAGTGACTAGTGGAGGTTCCTTGTCGGGATCGACCGTCGAGACAAACAAATCGACTCCTGAAAGATCCGATTGACCGGTCGGGTTCGACGGTGAGACTTGCTCGAATTTCTCATGTAGCGTGACGAGGTGGGTTGACCGATTGATAGGTTTCAACTTCGGAAGATTGTCCAACAGCCAAGAGAATGCGAACCACGACTCGCACACACACGAAATGCCCCACAGCCACATCGCATCAGGATTCAGGTTACGCCAACGCCAACCGAGGAAGAAAAACATAATCACCAAACGAACCAATATCAAAAACCTGTAAGGGCTAAGAATACTAGACTTAATCGGGGTCTTCCTCGTCAACGGCTTCCACGGTTTATCCATGAAATCCGACATCGTCACACCCCCATTGGTACCGTATTGATCGTCGTCGTCTTGCCAGAACGCACTACCGATTCCATACTTGGCTTTCAACTCAAACAACCAACGATTATGATCAAAATCACCCGTCTGGGTCCTTAACAACATGGACTTATTGTTCACCGATTTCATCACTGACACCCTTTTATCCGCTTTTGACCCATCGTTGCCATCACCCTGAGAGCCCATCGAGGGCTGGTTATCAGGCGTAGGTGGCATCATGACGGTGTAATTTATGTAGTCGTTTGAATGGTTTAAAATTTTGTTTTGGTTTTTTGCGTGTGGTTCTCTTAGCGGTGGAGAGATGTTCACTCCCTTGCTTCAAGCTTAGCCATTTAATTTCATTTATATTTCATATGGTTTTGAGATCATTTGAGTAAATTTCTTCATGGACAATATATTTTGTAAATTTAAAAAATTCGGTTTACATAAAAATAAGGATAAATTACGCATTTAGTACCTAAACTATCCTTTTTGTATATTTTAATACCTAAACTTTTATTTTTTTTTTCAAAACCATACCTAAAGTTTAATTTTTGTTTTATTTTAGTACCCATGTTCAAAATTTAACATTAACTTTTTTTTTGAAAGTTTAGGTACCAAAACGGGCCAAAATTGATAATTTAGGTACTAAACGCGCTAAGTTTTTAACAGATGGGTACTAAAATGAAACAAAAACTAAATGTTAGGTATGATTTTGAAAAAAATTGAAAGTTTAGATACTAAAATGGACCAAAATTAATAGTTTAGGTATTAAATGCGTAGTTTACCCTAAAAATAATTAGTCAAATTTCATAATTTTTTAAAAATTTAAGATTAATTTGACTCTATTTGAATATATTTATTTAATATTTTATATATAATATTTATATTTATATATCCTTTAGTATAAATCTAAGTCGTATCTTAAAACCAACTCAAACTAGTGATGGTAATTGGTGGGGTGGGATTGATTTTTGTTAACTCTAACTTCTACTCTAGAAATTTTACTGTTGATTTTTTAAAACAATTGAAAGTTTAGGTATTAAAATGGACCAAAATTAATACTTTAAGTATTAAAATGAACCAAAATGAAAAATTTAAGTACTAAAATTGACTAAAACTGATAGTTTAAGTATTAAATGTATAATTATCCTTTAATAAACATATATGGGCGGGTTTCGCACCTTGAATTTCTTTCTTAAAGTTAATACTAGAATCGGATAAGGTTGTTTTGAATTTTTTTACCATCCCAATGGGTGATAATGAGTTGAGCATCTCATGAGAAGTTCGAACTTGACTCGGTCAAAATTTGTTAAAAATTCGACTCGGGTTGACTCGACTTGAATGCGAGTTCAACTCGAGACCTTAACAAGTTAAATCGAGCAAAGTCTAACCCGACTCAATAAGTTAGTGAGCAACTCGTTAATTTTTATATGATTTTTTATAGTTATCTTAAACAATTATTTCATACACTCCAAAATCGAACCTTAGTTATTATTTTAATGTATTTGTGGATTGTTATTTTGGAGTTTAGATTTTATAATTACTTCATACATTATTTTTGATATTTTTTTTGGTTAAACTTATTAATTTATAATTATATTAAATCCTACATAGTATTAGTAGATTTTACCTATAGTTAAGAAAATAAGGTAAACATTTCGGTGAGCTTAACGAACAACGAGGCGAGCAATGAGCATCGAGTTTAACGATAATGAGCTTAACGAGCAACGAGTCGAGCAACAAGTTTTCTTAACGAGCACGAGACGAGCAAAATTTTAACGAGCTTAAAGAACAACGAGTCGAGCAACAAAATATTTTAACGAGCACGAGTCGAACACTGCCCAAATCGAGATCGACTCGAACTATAAGTACCCCTGGTCATCCTCAAATCAAACCCATTGATATTTACCTAAAGTAGGGGTTTGCATTCCATTAATTTACTTTTTCTGTCACCTCCCATAGGTGGCGGATGCAAAGTTTGTTCAATGTGAGTACGTGTCTATCCTAAAATTCGAATTTCTTATATTAGTTGTTGATTTATTAGTGTTCATCATAAAATTTTATTTGTGCCTACTCAAAACAAAAGAAATTATTATTAATATATGTGTACTCACTTTCAAAAATATTTTTGGATTCGCCACTGTATTCTATGCTAAGCAAATAAGGTGAGACAGACTAATTAAATGGCGAAACAAATAAGGTGACTGACAGAATAACTCAAAGGTACAGATGTTCAATCGCTCGGTTTGATTAACCTACCGAATCGAACTGGCCAAAAATCATTAAACGATTTTTTTTACCTTTAATTGTTAATTGAACCGGAAGTTTTCAAAAATTTCTTAACATAATCAAACAAAGTTCGATCAATTGGGTCGGTTAACCGAATTAACAAAAAAATTAAATAATATATATTAAATATTAAATATATATTATTAAATTCAGTCAGTTAATTCGGTTAAAATCAAAATTTAAACACTCCTAAAGTTAAGTAATATATAAATAATATAAACAATATATTGAAATTTAAAATTTTCGGTTAATTTGGTTAACTAATTAATTTTGAACCGAATTAACAAATAACCAAACTTTAAAAATATCATTAGCAGTTAACCGATCGAACATAAAATTAACGGATCGATTAATTGAAAAAAATTCGGTTCAATCGGTTTTAACCGATTAATGAACACCTCTACTCAAGGGGAATTGATGGGAAACGATCGACGTAGAGGCCGTCGTCCATGGTGGCAAGAAAAGAAGGGTGAATGAATTAAGGTTGTTTTTCTAATGAACTATTATTTCCAGTTGCTTTTAATTGCTCCTTCATAATTTTATATTTATCTTTCTCATCTTTAATAAATTACTCCTTTATATTTTTTGTCTGACCGACTTTGGTTTCTAATTTAAAAATTAAGAAAAATAGTCCTTAACGTTATTGATTCATTCGATTTTAGTCTCTAACATTATTAATTCGTTCGATTTTAGTCTCTCAACCATTAACTCTCGTTCAATTTTAGTCCCTAAGCCATGTTAGAGAATTCAACAAAAGGAACTTAAACAAAATGGGTTAACGAAAATTAATGACCGATGGACTAAAATCAAATGGATCGATAATGTTAGGGATAATTTCCTCTTAATTTTTAAATTGGTGACCAAATTCGGACAGACCCTAAACATAGGGTACTATTCGCATAGTTTACCCTAATAAAAACCAGAAAGGATTTGAGCCAATAATTTATCAGTCAGACTACGACAAGTAAAGAGAAGAAGAAAACTTTTAGACATTGCTATAGTTTCATTTTCCGATTCCAAGGCATAAATGGATTTTACGAAGATACTGCCGGAAGAGTGCCAATCTCTGATCATATCGTTGACTTCGCCGGCGGATGCTTGCCGGTCGGCGATGGTTTCTCCTTCTTTGAGATCTGTTGCAGACAGCGATGCAGTTTGGGAAAAGTTCTTGCCTTGTGATTATAACTCCATCCTTTCTTAGTCAACATTGTTGCTTTCACCGAGGAAGAAGGATCTTTACTTTCGTCTACCCATTCTCATCCAAAATGATACCATGGTAAGCCCCAAAACTGTACTTCCTGTAGCTAATTTACTATTATTATATATGTACATTTAGTGGCGGATTCAAAAAAATATTAGTAAAATAGGTAATTAACAGAAAAAAAATTCAGATTTTAGATCGAGCACGTACTCACTTTTAAATATTTGTGCATCCGCCACTGTGTACATATGAGCTGCAAGGGTATTCTCGATTCTTGATGATCAAATTGCTTTTAATATGTCTCGGAAATCATGGTTGTTCTTGTGAGAACTAGATTATCTGTCCAATTGCTTATCTTATAAGGACCGGCAAGGGTATTCTCGATTCTTGATGATCAAATTGCTTTTAATATGTCTCGGAAATCATGGTTGTTCTTGTGAGAACTAGATTATCTGTCCAATTGCTTATCTTATAAGGACCGGCAAGGGTATTCTCGATTCTTGATGATCAAATTGCTTTTAACATGTCTAGGAAATCATGGTTGTTCTTGTGAGAACTATATTATCTGTCCAATTGCTTATCTTATAAGGACCGGCAAGGGTATTCTGGATTCTTGATGATCAAATTGCTTTTAACATGTCTAGGAAATCATGGTTGTTCTTGTGAGAACTAGATTATCTGTCCAATTGCTTATCTTATAAGGACCGGCAAGGGTATTCTGGATTCTTGATGATCAAATTGCTTTTAACATGTCTAGGAAATCATGGTTGTTCTTGTGAGAACTAGATTATCTGTCCAATTGCTTATCTTATAAGGACCGGCAAGGGTATTCTGGATTCTTGATGATCAAATTGCTTTTAACATGTCTAGGAAATCATGGTTGTTCTTGTGAGAACTATATTATCTGTCCAATTGCTTATCTTATAAGGACCGGCAAGGGTATTCTGGATTCTTGATGATCAAATTGCTTTTAACATGTCTAGGAAATCATGGTTGTTCTTGTGAGAACTATATTATCTGTCCAATTGCTTATCTTATAAGGACCGGCAAGGGTATTCTGGATTCTTGATGATCAAATTGCTTTTAACATGTCTAGGAAATCATGGTTGTTCTTGTGAGAACTATATTATCTGTCCAATTGCTTATCTTATAAGGACCGGCAAGGGTATTCTGGATTCTTGATGATCAAATTGCTTTTAACATGTCTAGGAAATCATGGTTGTTCTCGTGAGAACTATATTATCTGTCCAACTGCTTATCTTATAAGGACCGAGTTAAACTATATAAGAATTTGAAATTTTTATAGTGCATTTGTATCCCGTACTCTCTCGATTCATCCCGATTTATTTCTATATCTGAAATCGAGTTTAATAAGATGCATTGGCGAAAGGGAAACATGTACATTTTGCATGATATAAAACAGAGTGGCATGTTGTTTATCTCCGATTGCATGGATACATCTGCAGAAAACTAAGGTTAGTGTTTAAACAGAGGACCGGGAAAAAATAGGAACAATTTGAAAGTTTAGTGAGTAAATTGGAAATATTAAAAAATACGATAAGTGAAATAGGAGAGAATAAAATTCAGTGAGAAATAATATAATTTATCCTATTTTGAACTTAGATATATATATATATATATATATATATATTTAATATTTAATCATAATTCCATCTCGAACAAAGAAAAAAAATATAATAAATGACTTAAGGGTACAGGTGTTCAATCGGTCGGTTTGATTAACCTATCGAATTGAACTGGCCAAAAATCATTAAACAATTTTTTTTTACCTTTAATTATTAATTGAACCGGAAGTTTTCGAAAAGTTTTTAACAGAACTGAATAAAGTTCGGTTAATTGGGTCGGTTAACCGAATTAACAAATTTTTTAAACAATATATATTAAATATTAAATATATATTATTTATTTCGGCCAGTTAATTCGGTTAAAATCGAAATTTAAACACTCCTAAAACTAAGTAATATTAATAATACAAACAATATATTGAAATATAAAAATTTCGGTTAATTAATAAATTTCAAACCGAATTAACAAATAACCAAACTTTGAAAAAATCATTAATAGTTAACCGATCGAACATAAAATTAACCGATTGATTAATCAAAAAAATTTCGATTCGATCAGTTTTAACCGATTAATGAACACCTCTACTCAAGGGGAATTGATGGGAAACGATCGATGCAGTTGCTTTTAATTGCTCCTTCATAATTTTATATTTATCTTTCTCATCCTTAATAAAGTGTAGCCCGCAGTTTTATTAAGAAAATAATAATAAAAAGGGTAAACCATGCAGGTACTCCTCTATATTTTTTGTCTCACTAATTTAAAAATTAAGGGAAATAGTCCCTAATATTATCAATCCATTCAATTTTAGTCCCTAACATTATCGATTCGTTCGATTTTAGTCCTTTAGCCGTTAACTCTCGTTTGATTTTAGTCCCTAAGCCATGTCAGGGACTTCAAAAAAAGAGACTTAAACAAAAGGGGTTAACGAAAATTAATGACCGATGGACTAAAATCGAATGGATCGATAATGTTAAGGATCATTTCTTCTTAATTTTTAAATTAGTGACCAAATTTTGACAGATCATAAACATAAGGGACTATTCGCATAGTTTACCCTAATAAAAACCAGAACTTAACAGGAAAGGATTTGAGCCAATAATTTATCAGCCAGACTACGACAAGTAAAAAGAAGAAGAAAAAAAAAACTTTTAGACATTGCTATTGTTTCATTTTCCGATTCCAAGGCATAAATGGATTTTACGAAGATACTGCCGGAAGAGTGCCAATCTCTGATCATATCGTTGACTTCGCCGGCGGATGCTTGCCGGTCGGCGATGGTTTCTCCTTCTTTGAGATCTGTTGCAGACAGCGATGCAGTTTGGGAAAAGTTCTTTCCTTGTGATTATAACTCCATCCTTTCTTCGTCGACATCGTCGCTTTCACTGGGGAAGAAGGATCTTTATCTCTCTTCTCATCCCGTTCTCATCCAAAATGGTACCATGGTAAGCCCCAAAACTGTACTTCCTGTAGTTAATTTACTATTATTATATATGTACATTTAGTGGCGGATTCAAAAAAATATTAGTAAAATAGGTAATTAACAGAAAAAAATTCGGATTTCAGATCCAACACGTACCCACCTTCAAATAGCTGTGGATCCGCCACTGTGTACATATAAGCTGCAAGGGTATTCTGGATTCTTGATGATCAAATTGCTTTTAACATGTATCGGAAATCATGGCTATTCTTGTGAGAACTAGATTATCTGTCCAATTGCTTATCTTATAAGGACCGAGTTAAACTATATAAGAATGTGAAATTTTTAGAGTGTATTTGTATTCCGTACTCCCTCGATTTATCCCGATTTATTTCTATATCTGAAATAGAGTTTAATAAGATGCATTTGCGTGAGGGAAACATGTACATTTTGCATGATATAAAACAGAGTGGTGTGTTGTTTAGCTCCGATTGCATGGATACATCTGCAGAAAACTAAGGTTGATAGTGTTTAAACAGAGCTTCCAGTTGGAGAAAGGGACCAGGAAAAGATGCTATAGGTTGGGGGCAAGAGCACTTACAATTATATGGGGAGATTCACCAGACAAGTGGACTTGGACATCTCTTCCGGAATCTAGGTTTGCTTCAACTTTTGATCTAACAACTTTTTTTTTTGTTACATAAAGTTTAGGTCGCGGTTACTCCCAGGCCATGACATACCCAAGACTCAATTGTGATTTACATAAGATTTTACAGATTACCCACCAAGAGTGATGGTGGTAGGATACGAACTTGGCCTTACAAGCTCAAATTTCTAGATCCAACCACTTGTACCAACACTCGTTGGCTATCTAGGTGTCCAAACTATACAACTTTTGATCTAACAACTAACCTAAACTATACGTCTTTATGCCAAACTATACAGTAATTAATTATAAAATAATCGTTCAAACTATACAGTTTTTTCAAACTGGTGTCCAAACTTTAGTTTTGAATCATCTAGGTTATCACTTTAGGTGACCGGACCGTTAAGTTCTACTGATAAGTGACACATGTCACGTTCTGGTAACTCTAAAAAAATTATCAAGGCATGACATGTCACGTTACGAAATTTTTTAAGGATCGGTACGTCTCACGCACATAAAATGGTAATATTTGTAACGTTAGAAACCTGGATGATTCAAAAAAAAATGTTAGGACACCTATTTGGAAAAAACAATATACTTTAGAAACTTATTTTATAATTAAACCTTATAACAATGCTAAGTAGAGCCTTAAAGATGGCATTGGTTGTCATTGATGTAATTCTATTTAGGCATAATGGTAAAATTAGCACCTAACATTTACGAAAATAATTGTTTTGATATTTATTATTATATTTTTTTGGAGCATTTTGGTCTTCAACGTTTTATTTTAAGGTAAAATGCCCTTAGGTTTGATTCAATAGTTATTTTGGCTCTTATTCTTTCTTTTTAGAGCATTTTGACCTCAATGTTTCATTTTAGGATAAAAAGACCCCTAATTTTGAGTCATTTTAGCTATTATTCTTTCTTTTGGAGCATTTTGGCCCTCAATGTTTTATTTTAGAATAAAAAAGTTTTTACTTTAGAGCGTTAACCCGTTTATCAACTAACAATTTCCACCTATAAATGTATCTTTTTGTCCCAATATGAAATGTTGGGACCAAAATGCTTCAAAGAAAGAATACGGATCAAATTGACAATTTTAATAAACGTTGTGAGCTAATTTTGACATTATACATTTTTTTCAATTACTTCAATTTCATGGATTCCATGTGTTTCTTTCTCATCTCGAATGTAAAGACAGGTTCCTTGAAGTTGCCGAGCTCGTACAAGTATGGTGGATCGATGTGACGGGAAAGATCGAGACCCGAATTTTATCTCCGAACACAAATTATGCTGTATACCTTGTGTTTAAGCTTAGATATCAACATATACTCGGGTTTAGGCGTAGACCTGTTGGTTTAAATGTCAGTGTCGACGGAGTCACTTTAAGGGAAGAGCGGAGGGTGTCGTTGTACCCGGGAGACGAGTCCCGACATGTTCGAGATAGAGAAGACGGCTGGATGGAGGCCGAAATGGGTGAGTTTTGGAATGAATGTGGGGGTGATGGAATTGTGGAATTTAGTCTTAAGCAGATTGACACAGGTTACCCTAAGCGAGGACTTATTATCGAAGGAATTGAGATTAGGTCTAAAAATGTTGGTAGCTAGTAAGACAAAGGGCATAATATCATTATGCGATAAGTCAACCTCGTATCATTTAAAAAATGTTTTATTTTCATTATGGATTATTTACATAATGTTTAAATAAAGTTTTATGAATGATTTAGGGTATGAACTGCTCAAGTTTATGTTTTTGTAATAATGAACTGAAAATAATTATGGTATTGAAATGTTGAGTATTAAATGAATGTGATATGATCGAAAAGCTCATTGTATGTTGCATCGAGAGTCACAGGTACAATTGACATGCCATGAGATGGAGTGATTATAAGTCTGTACTTTGTACATTTGGTACATTCTGCATAGCATCGTTGGTGCAAATTATATGATTGCACTTGGAGTGCATATTATGATTCTTGTCGATCATATCGTTGACTTTATCGATGGATGCTTGTCGATCGGCCATGGTTTTTCCTTCAATGAGATCAGTTGCAGACAGCGATGCAGTGTCGGACAAGATTTTGCCTTGTGATTATACTCCATCATTTCATCATCATCATCGTCGTTGCTTTCATTGAGGAAGAAGGATCATTACTCTAATCTCTTTCCTCATCTCATTCTCATCCAAAATGGTACCATGGTAAGCCCCAAAGTCGTACCTTGTGGTGTACAATGACAGATCTAGAAATTTAAAAATGATGGTCCAAAAATTTTAATATATATTTTTTAAAAATAATGGATATACAAAATTTATTATATTTTCCATTTTTCCTTGGTATATTAAACTAAATATCACATTTTTTCCCTAAGTAATGAGATGCTCTTGGCCCCCTAGGGGGCCTAGTGCACCCGCCCCTACTCGTGTAGTAATTTTTACTATTGTATATTTACCTCGTTCGGATTTTTGATGATCAAATTGCTTTTAACATATCCCAGAAATCATGGCTATTCTTGCGAGAATCAGATTATCTATCCAATCTGGTAGGCTTAATCTATAAGGACCGAGTTAAACTATACAAGAATTTAAAAATTTTAAGAGAACGACTAGTACTCTTTTGGTCCATCCCCGCTCCATGTCTAAGTTTGAATACGATGCATTGACAAAAAGGAAACATGTACGGATAGGTTCCTATTTGTTAACTATTTATTCCTTGGATCATTTTCGAACATTATATAACCGTGGTCAATTGACTTTGAACCCTCCGAAGCTTTCCCAGGTCGCCCGATGGCTTGGATCCGACTCTGAATTGCCGGTCGCGCTTTATAAGCGAAGTTTTATCGAAGCTGTAGGAAGCAACTTAAAGGTCCTAACCGAAGCAGGGGCGGACCTCCATGGAGCCCGGGATATCCCGGGCAACCCCTCATCCAGGGGTGGACCTCCATGGTGCCCGGGGTATCCCAAGCAATCCCTCCACAAGTGCCACCCCTAAAAAATGCCACCCCTAGGCTCTTGCAACCCCTAACGAAGGCTTCTGGGTCCGCCTCGAACCGAAGGTTCTTAGACCATTTCTTTCCACTGTGGTATCTACGGTTATCTTAAAGACCTTTGTCCGAAGCTTACCTCCCCAATGCAGGCCAATACCATGTAGCAAGACATAGGCCCGACGTCGGCTCCGCCCAAAGCAGAATCTGCACCAGAGAACCCCTTTGGTCCGTGGATGATTGTCGAAAAACGAAAACGGTATCCCTGTCTTCCAATCCCGTCGCTTCAAAAGAAAGTGTCCTATAACTCCGATAAACAATCCCATTTTTGAAGATTCAAATCAACGAGATTCTGCTCCAATCAAGGGACATCTTATTGGAAACTTCTGACAAGGGATCTCTTAAGGAATCTTCGAACGTTAAAAAAAATCCCCATATTCAACGGGCCTCTGCCGCAGCACCTTGCTGGCTGCCTTCAAAGGGACTGTCCTAGTCCTCCCTTTATAAAGCACTAGATTCTTTGTACTGACTTTTGCCTTATTTCTATTAAAAAAAAATAAAAAAAATTGCTTAATAAAAAAATAAGTGTCCAAAGTATGTCTCAAAAAAATGTTTTAGCGACTAAAATTTTTTTCGTAGATGCCTAAGGTTTTATCAGTTATATTTTTTGGTGCATACCATTATTTTTTTAATAATAAAATATTATTTTTTAAAAAAAGAAAAAAAAATTAAAAACTTAATTATTTAAAAAAAAAACTCAATTTTTTTACTGAAATTATAAAAAACCATAAAAAATTAAAATTTCTCATTTCAACCCATTATCAACCATCGTCGCCCATCTCCGGCCATCATCGTCATCGCCGAACGGTTGGATTTTGATTGGAATTACACGGTTGTTCGAATGGTGGTGGCGGTTTGACTTATGACGTCGAAATCGGTCGGAATCGATGAAGAACAATGGTGGTGGTTTAAAATCCGACGAACCTTTGAACGCTTCTCCACAACAAACAGAGGCAGATTACGACGAAAGGCCAACGACGGTTTGATCGCGGGTCGATGTCGGTGCTGATAACGACGACGGTGACAGTCACGGCTTGCTGACCAACGGCTATGGAAGGGGAAGAGGGAAGTGGGAAGGGAGAGGGGAGGCACGAGTGCTGTTTGGTTTTTTTTTTAATAAAAATATTTTTATTTTTAAATTTTTTAAATAAATTCTCAAAGTTACCAGAACGTGACACGTATCACTTAACAGAGATTTTTAACGACGATTAACGTCCGGGCACCTAAAAATGTAACATTGGAAACAATATACACCTATTTTTGACGAAAAAATTCTTTAGGCACTAAAACTTTTTTCGATGTATAGTTTGGGCACTTATTTTTGTATTAAGCAAAAAAAAAGTCATACATTCAAGGGTAAATTACGCATTTAATATCTAAACTATCAATTTCGGTCTGTTTTAGTACCTAAACTTTCAATATTTTCAAAATCATGCCAAACGTTTAGTTTTTTGTTTTATTTTAGTACCTCACTGTTAAAAACTTCACGTTAAATTTGGGGAAAATTAAAAGCTTAGGTATGATTTTGAAAAAGGAATTAACCAAAAAAAACACTAGTTTAAGTACTAAATGTGTTAAGTTTTTAACGGCGGGTACTAAAATAAAACAAAAACTAAACATTATGTATGATTTTGAAAATTTAAAAGTTTAGGTACTAAAACATATCAAAATTGATAGTTTAAGTACTAAATATATAATTTACCCTACTTTCAATTATGTTTTTCGAAATTGTTTTTCTTTTTATAATATTGACTCGAGTTTGGGTTGATCATTCCCCCTCCTCACCTAATCTATTTTCATCTCTATCGCTGATAATCATGTCAACACAATAACTATAAAAGATAATTTTAATTAATTAAAGGATTTAAACAATATTTTCTTTTTAAAATTTAAGAATTGGGTGTATTTTATATGAAGGGCCTAAATTATTTTTTTTAAAAAGTTTGAGCTATTATATACTCCTTAAATCAAAATCAAATTATGGGTTGAATTCTTGGAAGACTCTTTTCCAAACGACAAGGTATTGTATTATGAGTAAATTTATAGTTACATTATCGATATTTTAGAAATGGCAAAAAAACACTCGAGGTCCCTAAACTTTTAAAAAAAAAACCAATGTGGTCTTCATCCTATTTTTTTGATCAATTTGGCCATCCAACTTGAAAAAAGAACCTAATATGGCTATTTGACCAACGTTTTCCGTCATTAAACAACGATTATGTTAATTTCCGCTGTTATAAATTTGGTAAATTACACCATTCATCACTCAACTATTTTCTTCTCACTAAACTCTAAAAGTTCTCAATTTCATAAACTTTAGAGACTTCAGGGACTAAGGCTATAGTTAACCCATCCAGCTCAGTTAGTAGAGCACAAGGTTCTTAACCTTGAGGTCGTGGGATCGAGTCTCACGGAGGTCATTTCATAATTCGGAGGTCTCTTACGGAAGTTGCTCTCAACCTGGTGTTGGGGTAGTCTACTATCTTACCTCCCCTTACCCTATATATATGGGAAAAAGGGACAGCCATTGGACTACACAAATGATCACTTTTTTTTCTGGGATAAATTACTAATCATGTGTCTTTTTTATAAACCCAAAATATTTCAGGGATAAATTACTAATCATGTGTCTTTTTTATAAACCCAAAATATTTCAGGGATAAATTTATAGTTTAAAATTACCGTTTACTATATCTAATTGTAAACTTATAGTTGATGGTCACTAAAGCCGGCTTTGATAATTTAAAAATCGAAATTTAACGAGGAAGGATTGGAGCCTATATTTTATCAGCCAGAATATGACATGTACAAGAACAACCCTTTTAACCATTGTTATTGTTTCCTTTTTGGGAATAAATGGATTTTACGAGGATCCTGCCGGAAGAATGCCAATGTATGATCATATCGTTGACTTCACCGGCGGATGCTCGTCGGTCGGCGATGGTTTCTCCTTCGTTGAGATCAGTTGCAGACAGTGATGCAGTTTGGGAAAAGTTCTTGCCTTGTGATCATTTCTCCATCCTTTCAACATCATCATCGTCGTCGTCGTCTTTGCTTTCACTGGGGAAGAAGGATCTTTACTTGCATCTATCTTCTCATCCCACTCTCATTCAAAACGGTACCATGGTAAGCGTCATCGCTTTACTATTGTGTATATCTATATCGGTATATACAGAAAAGGACATGGGATTCTATGTTACTAGGGTAAACTTTTAAAATATCATAGGAGGAGATTGAATTAATAAAATTTTAGAGACGAAAATAGATTATCAATAAAAATATGTATATAAAGATAATATCTAAAGTATATGATAATTTAAAATTTTCATGGCACGACTGCTTCCGTCCGATCTCCCAATCCATCCTTGAATATATATATACACATATGAGCTGCAAGGGTATTCTGGATTCTTGATGACCAAATTGCTTTTAACATGTCCCGTAAATCATGGCTATTATTGAGAGAATCAGATTATCTATCCAATCTCGTAGGCTTAACCCACAAGGACCGAGTTAAACTATATAAGAATTTAAAATTTTTAGGAGTACGTCTGCAGCTAGTACTATTTCTGTCCATCCCCGGTTTATGTCCAAGTCTGAAATCAAGTTTAGTAAGATGCATTGACAGAAGGGAAACATGTACCATTTGTATGATATAAAACAAAGTGGTGTGTTGCTTAGCTCCAATTTCATGCAAAAAAACTAAGGTTGCAAGCGTTTAAACAGAGCTTCCAGTTGGAACAAGGGACCGGGAAAAAATGCTATAGGTTGGGGGCAAGAGCACTTTCAATCACACGGCCATGGGGAGATTTGCCTAACAACTGGACTTGGACATCTCTCCCCGAGTCGAGGTTTGCTTTAACTTTTGATCGAGCAATTTCATTCCAGTAACAATCCTAAGTAGAGCCCTAAAGATGCATTGGTTGCCATTGATGTTATTTTATTTAGACATGATGTTAAAATCAGCACTCATCATCAAAATGGTCATTTTCACTCCTATTTTTCTAATCATTTTGGTCCTTATTGTTTTATTTTAGGGCAAAAGACCCCTAAATTTGCATGAATATTCATTTTGGCCTTTATTCCTATTTTGGAGCATTTTGGCCCTCAATATTTTATCTTAGGGTTAAGAGGTCCCTATTTTAGAAGGTTTACTTATTAACTAACGGTTTCCACCCATAGAGGGACCTTTTGTCCTAAAATGAAAAGAAAAATAGAGGCCAAATTGACAATTTTTATAAACATTGTGGACTAATTTTGACATTATAACTTTTATTTTATTTACTTCAACTTCATGAATTCTCTATGTTTCTTTCCTGTCCCAAATGTAAAGATAGGTTCCCTGAAGTTGAATTCGTACAAGTGTGGTGGATCTATGCGAAGGGAAGTATCGAGACTCGGATTTTATCTCACGACACAAACTATGTGGTATACCTTGTGTTTAAGGTTAAATATCGACATATACTTGGGTTTGGGGGGAGACCTGTTTATTTAAGTGTCAATGTCGACGGAGTCGCTTCAAGTACAGAGCGGAGGGTGTCGTTAGACTCACGAGATGAATCCCAACGTGTTCGAG